GCCCCGCTGTTCCCATTCCTAACAGCCCCTTCCTGGCGCTCTTCCGGGAGGGAAATCAAATCCGGGGTCTGGTCCCCGAAAGCCCTGTACATGCCCAAAAGCAGCGGGAAGGCCCGCCTCTCCCCCAGAGCTGGAGACTGAACCAACAGACACCCCCAAAAGGCCACCTCCAGCCCCGAGTGACCAGCCCGTGGCAGGCAAGACGGTGCCCACCACAGAGGAATGAGGCCGGGCTGCGGCGGGCGCACCGGGCGGCAGCCACGGTCACCGGGGCTCACAGTGAGACAGAAACGGCAGAGCCCAGACTCGGTCCCTGACAAAGGCGTCGGAGGAAACACTTGGTAAAACTCAAGGCAAGTCGCATGGCCAGCAGCTCTGAGAGGCAACGTGGGGTCACGAAGTGACCATCGGCTCATCCCACTGAGAGGTGATGATGGGAGGCACCGGGGGTGAAGGACGGAGGGAGGGAAGGGCCCCGGGAACGTGGCTCAGGAAGGTGTGGGTCCAGGACACTGGCTGTGCGAGGGGCAGTGCGTGGTCAAGGGCACGCAGGTGGCAGTGGGCGAAGCCAGGACCAGCCCCGTTGTGGAAATCCACGCTCCTTCCCGCTGAGTATGAAGCGAGGGGTGCTGGAGGGGCCATTCTCTTTAACATGCAGTGATGCCTTTTGAAGGAGGCGACCTCACAGTCTTGGTCAGAAGGATGAAAACATAGCTTCCTGCCAGGCCGGCTTGGCTCAGTGGCTGGCGTCAACCTATGAACCAGAAGGTCACAGGTTGGCTTCCTGGTCAGGGCACACGGCTGGGTTGCAGGCTCGATTCCCAGTAGCAGGAGGCAGCCAGTCAATGATTCTCTCCCATCACTGATGTTTCTATCTCTCCCTCCATCTCCCTTCCTCTCTGAAATAATAAAAATGTATTTTTTAAAAGTAGCCCCTGGCCCTATCCGGTGTGGCTCAGTGGATAGAGCGTCGGCCTGCGGACTCAAGGGTCCCAGGTTCGATTCCGGTCAAGGGCATGTACCTTGGTTGCGGGCACATCCCCAGTAGGGAGTGTGTAGGAGGCAGCTGATCGATGTTTCTCTCTCATCGATGTTTCTAACTCTATCCATCTCCCTTCCTCTCTGTAAAAAATCAATAAAATATATATTAAAAAATAAAAAAGTAGCCTCCTGCACAGGAGCAAACGCAGGAAGAGGCCCTGGGAAACAAACGCCGGGAGCGTCCCGAGGGAGCCTGCCCCGCAGCCCCCGTGGCGGACACTTCCAGGGAGGGACCCCTCTGGTGTCCAGCACGGCCGGTGACTCACAGCGAAGACAGGATTCGGCGCCCGGGTGCACACCACGTACATGATACCTTTCCAAAGACATACCTTTACTGCTGCACTTGAGGCCCGCCCCCGAGTCCAGAGCCCTGCCAATGGACAGCTGGGGCAGAGCGCAAGGCCCCACGCTCCCCTCCAGCTCTGTCTGCCACCCCAGCATGGCCTGCAGCTCACACAGCAGGCTCCTCTGGGGGACGCTGACCTCGCATGAAGTTCAGGCCTGGAGATGCCCACTACACGTGCGCCCAGTGCGGTGCGGAGAACGCCACAGAGGGAGCAGGAAAGCCCGCTGGTGTTCGGGGCGGGTCTGTTATTCACACAGAAGTGCTGGTCACTTGAGTCACTTGACGATCGAGGTAAAAATGTTACTGCCTCTCTCATGCGCTGCAAAGTCATGGCGTAAAACCACTGGCGCATCAAATGGAGTCTCACACATCAGATCTCGTTAAAGAGGGGTCCTGGCTCCACCAGAATCCAACCCAGCCCCAACCCAGCCGCGGGGCAGCCACACCTGGCAACGCGGCCCAGCCACTCGCAGCTGGGCCACAACTCAGCTCTCACCAACTCCCACGCCGCCTTCTCTTTTACAGAGAAAACATGAGCTGTTTTCAAATAGCGGGGTCCTGCGGAAGCTGGTTGCCTTTTAATCCCTTTGTCCACCAATGACAGGAGTTACACAGAATCTCCACTTCTGATCAACAACCAACCCATGTACTTCTAGGAATCCTTGGTAACATCTTTAAACACTTGTGCATGTTTCTAGAAGTAACGGGGGGGGGGGGGGGGGATATATACCATTGCCAAGGGTATGAATGGGAGTCTGATAGCTTCCCACCAAGAGATGTTGCTCCGCTGCTACTGAATTCCTAACACGTGGATAATGGGGCCACCCGTTCATTTACTATCTGGTCCATCACCCACGTGTGCGCTTTTAATGGGAACTTAACCTTTATGTCCCACATTCTCGGTGGGAGTAGCACAGAAACAGGTCTATGAGTTCCTCCCCAAGCCAAGCTACACATGAACACTACCTTTACATTGGTGTTGAGTTAAGCTCTGAAATACCGGCTTTTTCACCCCTGCTCCCACATCTCAGCTCCTCCTGGGCAGGTCCGGGGTGACCAAGCAGAGCCGGGGTGCAGCCCAGAATCACCCCCAAGAGCTAGTTCATCGACCTTTTCCCCAGCCAAGCTGCCAATCACCACTAAACTCTCCCAAGCAGAGAGAGACACGGGTAAATGTTAAGTCTACCCAACTCATTTCATAGGTGACCTCTGCAAGATGTCAGCTGGGAGCCTGGGAGAGAGAGGCAGCTTTATTAGCATGCGGCACCAGGCCCCAGCCCCCTCCCCCGCTTTTATGAGCCCTTGTTATACAAAATGCCACAAAGGGGAAAGGAAAAACAACGCCCGTACAGTTACAAACACAAGTCCGGTTGGCCAGGCCAAACCCTGGCGGCTCACCAGAGGTTATTTGTAGTCATTTAAAAGAAGAACACTTTTAAAAAGCCTGAGAACAAAAGTTTTCATCGTCTTTCTTAAACCCATATACACACAAAAAGATGGAGGTACGTCCCCTTCGCAGGCATCCTTCCCCATTCAAATTCCTCTCCCATTCCAATTTAAAGGCAAAGGCAGCCTGGAGTCCGACAGCTGCCTCCTTCGAGGCTGCACGTCTTCCCGGGTTTCCCTCACCCTCTAAATCCCGGCGTGACAGATAATAAACAGCTACTCATTTACGAGCATCATAAAAATTTAAACAGCCTGGAAAGAGTTGCTACAATACAGAAGAAACGAGCAAACCTAAGCTCCGGAAAGCCACTCGGAACAGTGAAACTATTGCGCCGCCGAAGCGCACATAAAGATACATTGTTGCCATAAAAGCTGCGGGATTAGCGGATTTTCTCTTTTAAATCTTCTTCTAAAAGTCAACAACTTGCCGTATTTTTACCCAAGTGGGAAAAAAAAAGGCTTAGTAACCCTCAGCTATCACACAGTGCCAGATTCGGTGGCGGCTTCTTTTTTTAAAGAAAGTATCTGATGCGATTCCACGCAGTGATTAACCATCTTTGTGCTCCGCCGAGAAGGGGCCTCCAACCCCTCCCCCTCCAAAAATGGCATCGAAGCAATCAAAATGGTAATGCCGGGCCGGGGTCCCCTCCCCCCGCGAACTCCCCGACTTCGCCGGGGCCGCGCGCCGGGCCCCCCTCCGGCGGGAATGGAAGCTTCCACTCCCGAACCGGCGGGTGCGCGCGCGCGGCCGGGGAGGGGGCCGCGGCCCCGGCAGAAAGGGGTTAATGCTTCCGTCCCAACCCTCCCGTCCAGCCGGGAGCCCCCGAGAGCGCAGACCCGCGCGGGGAACAGCCATCTTTCTTTCCGCAGCCCCCGGCCCCCTCCTCTGGCGCACGCTCCCTCCCATCACTTTTCAACTTTAAAGACTCGAAATGAACGCCGGCCTCCGAGTTCTCCCTCTATGGTCGCCGCCACCCCCGCCAATCTCCTGCACGTCTCCCGCTCCCCCCTCCCCCGGCGAAAATTCCTCCGGGGAGGGGGCATCAGCCTGGATTGGGGGAGAAATGAGGGGCCTGATCTGCAGCAGAACCAGGCGCGGGCGCTGTCCAAGTTTGGTGCTGACGGCGCGGCCGGCATTCCGAAAGAACAGCGATCGAATGCCAGGGGGCGCGGCGGGCGGGGGCGGGCCGCGGGGTGCGGGAGGGGGTGGGGGAAGAAGGGGGCAGCGGGGAGGGGCGCCGGCGTCCCCGCCCCCAACCACCCCCCCCCCGCCCCCCGGGCGCCAGCTCGGAGTCCCGGGAGCGCCATTGGCTGCGCCGCTCAAAGTTCTCGGCTCGGGGCGGCGCGGGGAAGGGGCGGGAGTGCGGGGAGGGGAGGAGCGGGGTGGGGGGAGGGGCGCGCGAGGCCGGGAGGGAGGGGGCGAGGGGGCGGGGGCGCGCGGCCGGCCGCGCTCCGGCGGCGGCATCTGTTCGTGGTGCTGAAACCCCGAGCGCTGAGCTCAGCGCAACTAAGTCACAATGGACAACTTTTCCTTCCGGAAGAGCCGAGAGGGGGTCGGCGGCCGGGCCCCCCACCCCGGGGCGGGGGGGCTTCTCCTGGGTCCCCATCTACACCTGACGCCCGCAGACCAAAGTGGGGGCAGAATTGGGGGACCCCGGGGGCACGTTTCTTTTGTTCCCCGGGAGCTGGCGTCAGGTTCCAAGAATAAAAAGTGATGCTGGAGAAGTGAGGGGCGGGGCGCCCAGAGTACCGCGTCTGCACATAAAATGTGCAGTGAAACCCAGAAACCGCCCCCAGGTAGTTTGGTGTCCAGGCCCAATGACCGTCCCCTCGACCCCTACCCTCAAGCCGGCGTGGGGGGCCCGGGCCGGGAGAAATGCCCGCATTCCCGAAACATGTCCACCAACTCAAAATGGACGCCGGGCTGCGCGCCGCCTTTGAAGTGCAGCTCCTGTCGTTCGGCCACTGCACTTTCCCCCTCGGCCTCTGAGAACCCGGCTCTTTCTTTCCAGAAAAGGGAGGCCCGGTAACTTTGAGGGCGGCACACGGACTCCGTTGGGAGTCTGAGCGCGCTGCGCTGAGGCCGGCACTTTTTCGGGTGCTGCCAAGTACCCGGCGACCCCCCTGCCCCCCGAGGCGGGGGTGCGCGCAGGCCCAGCTCGCTTACTTGTTTGTCGCTGAGCGCGGCGATCCGCGGCGGCCTCGCGTGGAGCTGCTTCTTGAGGTCGCCGTTCTGCGGACACACGGAACGGGCTCAGGCTGGCAACCCAGGGGGTCGGGTGCGCCCCGAGCCCCAAGGGCCTCAGCCCCCGCCCTGCAGCCCGCGCGGCCAGGCCGCCCGCAGCGCGCCCCCAAGTTCCCCCGCCACGTCCCGCACGCGCGGCGGCCGGGCAGTGCCGTGCGGGGCCGCTTACCTGTGGCTGCCGCCTCATCGGGGCAGCTCGCGGGGCGGGGCGGGGGCCGAGGCCACCCGGCGGCGCGCCCCGAGCCGTGCAAGTTTGCAGGCCGGGGTGCGTGTGCGAGTGAGTGTGAGTGTGAGTGTGTGCCGGGGGAGGGGGGAGGAACAAAGAGCCAAGTAAACACGGCGAGTCCGTGTCGAGCGATGCTCATAAATATTCAAGTCGCGTCCTAATCTTCCCCACACACACACACACACACACGCGCACGCCGCGATCCGCTCGGGCTCCGGCCGCCGCGCCGCTGCTCGCCCAGCAACAATCGCCAAAACTACTTTTGCAAACTGCGCAGGGTTGCACCGGGGAGGGGGCCCCCGGGGGCGGCGCACACACTCGCAGAGACCCCGGGACAGGCTCCCGAAGGGTTCCCACCCGGCACCCTCAGTCCTGCAGAGCCCGCGTCCAGAACGAGAAGACACCGGGCGCGGGTCCCGCGGGCCCCCGACCCACTGCCCCCCGAGACTGTAAAGGATTGCAGGGCGGAGGGTAACCCAGCGGGGTCCTGCAGGCAGGGACTTCCCCCACCCCGGGGCCGGCTCAAGAGGGAGTCCCCTCCGGGAACCTTCAGTCGAGCAGACCCTGCGGGGAGGAACGGGACGCCCGGCTCGTGTCTCTGGAGCCCCCACCCCGGCCCAGGGCCCCGCGCCGCGTACCTGGTGGCGCGCGAGTTCCACGGCGAGCGCCTCCGGCCGGCTCTGCAGCTCCATCCCGGCAACTTGGGCAGCACTTTGCGCTCACTTTGGCCCCGGCTCCCGATAAGTTGCACGGCTCCGCGGGGGAGGGGGCGGGAGCGGGCGGGGGCGGACCGGGCCTCCCGGGATGGGGGACACGAGCCCCCTCCCCCACGACCGAAAGGGAGGGGGGTTGGCGAGGGGGAAGAAAGGCGGCCGGGCGCCCCGGCTCCGAGCCCGCGGCCACCCCAACTCTTCAGGATGCCCGGCGGCAAGTTGCGCCGGGTCCGCGGGCTGCCCGAGCCGCCCGGCGCATGGCCCCCCGGCGCCGGGAGCCCCGCGCAGCCCCGCGCAGGCCGGCGCGCTCCCGCCCCGCCGGCAGGGACTATATTTCGTCCGGCGCGCGCGCCTGGATCTCGCTGGGTCTCGGTAAAGTTGTGCCTCGGCTGGATGCTAATTCGGCAGTGCCCGGATGGAGCGGCCCGGAGGAGGGGGCGGGGCTAGGGCCGGGGCGGGGCCGGAGCCCGCCGCTCGCCCCGCCCCCGCCCCGCCCGCGCCCCGCCCGCGCTTGCGCACTGCCGCCCGGCCGTGGCCGGGCGCCCGGAACAGAGAACAAAAGTGGCACCGAGGGGCTCAAACTCGCGGGTCCCCGGCGTGGGGCGCCCGCCTCTGGACGCTCTGACGGGGCGCTCCTCCTCTTGCCCTCCCAGCCAAACCCGAGGATAACAGGTGCCCCCATCGCCCTGCTCTGGGGAGCCCCGCCTAAGGCCGGGGTTAAGGATCCTTAGGTCCGTTTTTCATTTCTTTTCTCCTCCGGCTCTCGCCGGCCCGTCCGTTCCCGCGCCCTCTTCCCCTTCCTATTTGTTCAACTTGTCTTGCGTCCCGCCTGCCTCCCCGAACACGAGCGCGGCGACTTGGGAGATGAAGCTCCTGTGCCAGACGCCCCGCCGCCTGAGGGCCACCGTGTGGTGCAAACAGCATGAACGTGGATCTCTTCACTCCTCCGTTAGCGACTTTTTACACTCACACTAAACTCTCAACAGAGGCACCGGGCTCTTTAAGACCGTTGTTAAAAATCGTAAACGTGCCGGTCCATGTGACATAAAACAGTAACTATAGCCGCGGGAATCACATTTCCGAGCCCCCAGGCCCACAGCCAGGAGGTCCATGTCTGCAAGTCTAGTCCAGCGGGTTAGCGCCGCGGATTTACCATGCTAGTCAATTACTAGGTGCACCGGTTAATAATGCGGATTTTTTTCACCAGATGGAGTTACACATATGTTGATATATATGCGATTTGATATGTATGCTATTTTGTTGTATTGACAGCAAGCTTCAAAACTTCACGTGTCAAATTTCTGAAGGTGTTAACATCATAGATATTTCTACACTTAAAAATGTCGAATTTCGTGCCAAAAAAAAAGAGCATTTGCGGGAAGTTTTAATTCATTTATTTTGAAGAAAAGTGCTGCTGAAAGTTATCGTATACTTTGGGAAGCTTATGGTGAACATGCTCCATCTCAAGATGCTTGTGAGCGCTGGTTTAAATGCTTTAAAAGTGATGATTTCAATGTGAAAGACAAAGAAGTCCAGGTCAACCAAAAAAGCTTGAAGACCAACAATTACACGCATTATTGGATGAAGATGCATTGCAAACTCAAAAACAACCTGCAGAAAGATTAAACGTTGCTCAGCAAACAATTTCCTATCGTTTACACGAAATGGGAAAGATTTTAAAGCAGTGGTTCTCAACCTTGGCTGCACATTAGAATCACCTGGGAATCTTTTTAAAATCCTGATTTCTGGGCCTCATCCTCCGGAAATTCTGTTTCTTTGTTATGGGGTGAGGCCACATTAGTATCAAAGAAACAGAATTTCCGGAGAATGTGGCCCAGAAATCAGGATTTTAAAAAGATTCCCAGGTGATTTTAATGTACAGCCAAGGTTGAGAACCACTGTTTTATTTTTTTTTAATATATTTTATTGATTTTTTTACAGAGAGGAAGGGAGAGAGATAGTTAGAAACATCGATGAGAGAGAAACATCCATCAGCTGCCTCCTGCACATCTGGGGATATGCCCGCAACCCAGGTACATGCCCCTGACCGGAATCGAACCTGGGACCCTTCAGTCCGCAGGCCGACGCTCTATCCACTGAGCCAAACCGGTTTCGGCGAGAACCACTGTTTTAAAGGAAGGAAAATAGGTGCCACATCAACTGAATGAAACACAAATGGAAAACCGAAAAGTCATCAGTAAAATGTTGCTTCAACGGCACGAAAGAAAGTCTTTTTTGCATCGAATTGTGACTGGTGATGAAAAGTGGATTTATGTTGGGAATCCTAAACGCAAAAAATCATGGGTTGATCCAGGTCAACCATCAACTTCGACTGCAAGGCCAAATTGCTTCGGAAAGAAGACAACGCTCTGCGTTTGGTGGGATCAGGAAGGTGTGGTGTATTATGAGCTTCTAAAACCAGGTGAAACTGTTAATACTGATCGCTACCGACAACAAATAATCAATTTGAACCACACTTTGTGAAATGATCAGAATGTGCCAAGAAGATACGGCAAAGTAATTTTGCTTCATTACAACGCACCATCACACACTTCAAAACCATATAAGACACGTTAAAAGATCTTGCCTGGGAAGTATTAACCCACCCGCCGTATTCACCAGACCTTGCTCCTTCAGATGACCACTTGTTCCGATCGATGGCGCACGCACGTGCACGTTCTGAGCAGCACTTCAAAACGTAAGAGGAAGTGGAAAATTGGGTCTCTGAATGGTCTGCCTCAAAACAAGAAAAGTTCTATTGGGACGGTCTCCACAACTTACCTGAAAGATGGGGGAAATGTGTAGCTAGCGATGGACATTACTTTGAAGAAAGCACTTTTGATGTTTCTCTTGATATTATCATGTTTTCTTTGCTTACAAAATCCGATATTATTAACCGGTACACTAGTCACATCGGGATGCCTTGTGCCCTGTGAATAGCGGCCAGCATGTTTGCAAGACGCTGGGGAGAAATGGTGCAATCGTACTGTAAACGTTCACACTGATGGATCACGTTCACTTCATACTCCCCCCAGCACAGAAAGCACCCCGGCACACACTCAACAAATGCCCCTTTCAACCCATGCCAGCCGGCCACAAGCCACGCCAGGCTCAGCAGAGCTGTGGCCTGTTTTCTCAGCCGGGCCCCAGTGCAGTTCTGGACTCTGTGTCAGTGACACGTGTGCTTGTGTGTTGGGCTCCCTGAACACGGGGTCCTGTCATCCTGCCCTGCTTCCGGGAGCCTCCGTAAGAGATCGCTCAGTAAGGGAGTTGGTTAACTCCTGAGCTTCGTCATCCAACTCGAAACTAACACATGTTCTGAGTGGGTGTTCCACTGGGTTTAGCACCAACGGGGGAGAAGCAGGATTCACCAAATGCAAAACAGAAAGGCTCACTCTAGGGGCCCCCGGAGGCCGTGGCTCCTTCCATTGTGGGTTCAGCAAAAATGGCGTCCAACTCAGGGTGGTGTCCCCCTGCTCAGTGCGTGTGCTGGCCTGGAGGCCAGCCTGGCCAAGTGGGCTGCCCAAGGGGCCAGGATTCCGAGAGCCAGAGAGGGAACTTAGGAGAGGATTCTGCTGTAATCGCTGTAAAGGTCACTGGCTCATTGGTCACACATGTGTTGAAATCAACAGCGGTGTATTCAGGTTCCTCTCTCTGTGGCCCAAGCCACAGTGCATGGGAGGTTATTGCTGGGGAGTGAGGAGAGTGCGGAGGGCCTGGCTTCCACTCGCCATCGCGGGGTCCTGCTAGCGTCTGGGTGTGAACAGGGGGCGGGAACCCCAAGGAGGGAGCCCCATTCTCACTGACGGGCTTCACACTCCATCCAGTCCCTGACTGCTGCAACCCCCTGGGGCGGGGGTGACAGTATCGTTGTCACCTGCAGTCTGCATGGGGAAACTGAGGCTCAAGGTGGCTGGGTTACTTGCAAGTCACCTAGTTAGTGGGTGTCCGTGGAGATCCAGATCCTGGCCTTGAAGCTGGGCCCCACCGGGTTCAAATCGCAGCTGTGGGGGCCGGGACGTTTTGGGACCAGGCAGCCAGGAAGCCTGGGTGCAGAGCTGGAATGCACGGGTGGTCAGAACACAGGTGTAATGGGGAGGAAGGTGGTGGCTTGGATTTAAACTAGAAGCCAACCGTGCGCTAGGAGTCAAGAGAGAATTTGATGGGAGATCAGTCACCCCAGGGGTGACCCCCGGAAGCACAGGGTGGGGTGTGGAGGTGAGCTGGGCAGAAAAGGAAGCCCCAGGAGGTGGGTACGGAGCAGTCACCTCCGCGGGGGGCCACGGGCGGCTGTACCGGGGATTCTGGAGACCGTGTGGACCTCAGCGCCCAGCGGTCCTGCTCGAGAGGAGAGAGCAGGGCTGCTGCTCCCCCAGCTCCCTGCCCTCATTGGCCCAGGGCTGCTTCCCGGGGACAGAGCCCACAGGCCCCCCTGCTCCCGAGGTGGGAGAGCGCAGGTGACCTCAGGAGCTTGGGGTGTGCGGGAAGAAGACAGAGCGGAAGCAGGACAGACCAGGGCAGCGCCTGCCCCGTGAGCGGACTGACGGGCTAGAGGCCAAAGGCTGCCTAAAGCAGGTGGGATGGTCAGCAGGCGATGGGGAGCCATTGCCCTTTAAAGTGCCCTGACCAGCCCTAGCTGGTTTGGCTCAGTGGATAGAGCCTCTGCCTGAGGACTGAAGGGTCCCGAGTTCAATTCCTGTCAAGGGCACATGCCCAGGTTTCGGGTTCGGTCGGTCCCCAGTTGGGGGCGTGCAGGAGGCAGCCAATCAATGATTCTCTCTCATCATTAATGTTTCTCTCTATCCCTCTCCCTTCCTCTCTAAAAATCAATAAAAATATATATTTAAAAAATAAAATAAAATAATGTGCCCTGACAACGTTGTTGTCTGCAGAATCCAGATGTGGGCGACGTGGGGCAGGGCAGGTGAGCAGGCCGCCTTGGGAAGAACATCCAGCCCTGTCCCAGCCAGGGAGCAAGGAGCTGGTGAGGGGACAGCGCCTAGGCCAGCCAGGCGAGAGCACCAGGGCCTGTCTTCCCGGGGGCCCGGTGGGCAGCGGTGTTGCCTGGCACAAGCAGGTGGATGGGCAGAGTGGCGGCCTGTCGGGCTGTGCCAAGGGCACCTGGGGGCTTGGAGCAGCAGCTGCGGGTTTGTTGGAGGCGCAGGGAATGCGCTCAGTGACTCTCGCTGCCCCAGATGGGCTGCCCTGCTTATGCCCTGGGCCTTGGCCTGGGGGGGGGGGGGGGCGATGGGGCTCCAGGACGTCCCTCTGGGCCCTGTGCTTGTCTT